TAATCTCACATGTGTTCATTGGCCAGGTTGGCACAATAAACCTACCTATCACGGCATCCAAATTGGCAAAGAAGTAAAACTATTTGAAATGATGTGATCCAATACATAACCAGTGCTTAGGTGCATCAAAAGATTTCACCAAAATTGTCAACAGAGAATCCACAGACTAGAAAAAAAAAATGGCAATGATATTTTGAACGAGGCTAGTCTATAAATGTATAGAACACTTCAACACCTCAACAAGATCGAAGAAAACATTCCTATTTAACATGGGCAGAAGACATGAATAGACCAAAGAACACATCCCCGTGGCCAACAAATACATGAAAAAAATGTTTGTGATCATTAGCCATTAGAGATATGCAAGTCAAAACAACAACAAGCTATCAGTTCAGCACTTCCAGCAAAGTCCCATAAAACAGAAAGCAAATGCAGGAGAGAGTGAGGAGAGTGTGGTACCCTTATACACTCCTGGTGGAGTGCAACCACTGAGGAAGGCAATATGGTGCTTCCTTACAAAATTAGCATCATTTAAGGGTAATGGTTGCACAACATGATTAATGTAATTGATACCAATAAACGGCATGCCTCAAAAATGTTTAAGTGGCATTATTTATATAGTTACAAGAGTAAAAATATTTGCAAGAAAAAAAGATAAGAAAAAGTTGGAAATAGAAATGCTGTATCCCTTACTTGGTATATATCCTAGAGAAACAACACAAATAGATATCATGTTCATTACAGTACTATTCATCATAACAAGAAGATAGAAACAGTCTAAATACCCATCAATGAAGAGTGAATAAGCAAACTATTGTATATACATAGAATGGAATATTGTGTAAAGAATAATGATGGATCTGTGTAACATAACATGGATAAACCTGAAGTACATTATGCTGAAATAAGCCAACCACAAATGGGCAAATATTGCAAGAGACTACTATTATAAAAAGATTTTTCAAAGATTTCTGCCCTAAAAGAAACATCTTTTGATGGGTACCAAGGGTAAAAGGGATAGGAAGGGTAGGTCCCTCATGAGTAGACAGATACATTATTAACGTTGGTAAAGTGGAAGGCGAAAAAGGAACAAAGATCTGGATCTGAGGAATGTGGGAGGGGGAGGGGACTGAAGGATGGTCCACAAGGGACACTCCAGCTTCATCAATACAGTAGTTTCATTCGTCAGAAGACGAAGTAAAGATTTTAAAACTGAAGGGCTGTGAAGGAGGGAAAGGCCCCCAGGAGATGGAGTGACGCTGGCTACAGCCTGGGGCTCAAGAACAGGAACAAGTGTGGGGATCGCTCTGGACTGGGCAATGTTCATGCTGTTGTGCACAGGGAGGCTATGGGTTGGAACCTACTTGCTGGCACCTAACAACAACTTTTATTACTTTTAAGTGAAGAGTACACTAGTCTCATGTTGTTCTTTTTTCTGTGTTGATGTGTTGAACTACAATAGAAATAACAACTAAAGATACTTAAGGCAATTCTCTTAAATGGCCGTGAGGGGATTATGCAGCCACAAGGCAGAGGTTAAATATTTTGAAACTGAAGCTGTCTCTGCAAAGGTTTCCAAACACAGTGGTGGATTCACAATGACTCACTGCAAGAATCTAAGCACAAAAACAAGGAGGTTTGCCTCACAGCAGACTGAAAGGAGCTCAGGAAATGTGCCAATAAGAGAAATACACAAAAATTGGGGACTATGGAAACATTATGACTTTATAATATTTTACCTTGTTTGAATTGTAACACAAATGGCTCTACATCAATCAATAATATAAATATTTTAAAAGTGTAAATAAATCTGTGTGACGGCCTGAGTTTTCTTAAAGAATGTAAACTTTAGCGGCTAGATGTCCTAGCTATTTTAGATTTTCAGAGACCCCATTCTGCATACTTAGAGTCTTGTTGCTGCAAGTTTTACTGACCTCATTAACAAGTTCTTAGAAGATCAACATCTCGACTTTGGATCTGTTTTCACATGTGGGGTTACCAACAGGGAAAGGATCTGAGCCATCCAGGCACTAACATTCTAGCCCCCACATAAACCCCTCAACTTCATTATCTGTAAAATGGTGTTAAGGCATGCAACCTACTGTACCATGCCACTAGGATCAGACGAGACACTAAACGTATTTGGCACTTATCAGATTCCTAAAATTGAGCAATTTGTTAGTCCATTCTAGCTAGTAGGTCTCTTATCCTAAATGAGGCAGCCTGGATGTCAACCTAGATATGTATGAATGCGCATGAAGTGAAATGAATGTCTTAAGTTTTAGTCTATTTCTTCCCTTAAGAAACACTATGTAGATCAGAGCTATTAGCTTATGAGAATAGTATTTGCTCAGACTATAAAATCAAAGCACAATTTGTATTGTAGAAGAAAAAAACCTCTATATTTAATCTTGGTTCTGATTATCAAATAGTAATGTCTCAACTTAAACATGCCTATCACAGTATCTGTATTCATGGAACATCTACTCAAATAGCAACCCACAATGGTTTGACTCTACAATTCTACAACTGGGTGGAAAGACCTTCCGATGTGTGCCTGATTCTTGTCCATGTTGCTCAGACTTGTTTGAACAGGTCATTTCACTTTTCTGGTCCTGGCTTTGCTTGGTAAAGGAAGTCTGGGTAAATCGCTAGCAACCCACTGCTACCCCTAGAGCCCATGATGGTGTTCTTTTTATTTAAGGAGCCCTGGTGGCATTGAGGGTTATGAGGGGTGTTGCTAACCACAAAGCCAGGTTTGAACACACCCACCACCCCAAGGAAGGAAGGTGCGGCTTTCTGCTCCTGCAGCCATTACAGCCTCGGAAACCCAAGGAGGCAGTTTACTCTGTCCCAGAAGGCTGCCAAGAATGACCGGACGGCAGCATTTGATCCCTTGCCTCATGTAAGGGAAATCTTTTGCTGTAAATTGAGCAAAGCATGATCTTAGTGATGTCATTCTCAGCTGTTTGTTTTTCTTAATGCTGCAATGACAATCATATTCTGTGGAGTTCGTCATGGTTGGATTTGACCTGTAAGTAAGATATAAATATTTTCCCCCAACGAGAAGTTGTCAGTAGGTGGTCAGCTGATCAGGAGCACAATTCTTCGGTGTAATTATTCCCTCACCTATTCAGAATCTCTTCTTTAGCCACAACAGATTGTGGCTTTAAAATGAGAATGTTCTACATGGCTTCCACTGTACACCCATAGTCATTGTAGTACCTCTCACAGTATCAGAAAGACGGACACAAGCTAAACACCCATCAATGGGATGATGAGCAAACATTGGTCCATACACACAATGGAATACCATGGAACATTAAAGAATAATGTTGTCTGTGAAACCTATCATATTGAGAACACTGTCTTGAGTGAAACTAGTTAATCACAAAGGAGCAAGGATTGTAGGAGACCAATATTATAAAAAACCAAGAGGTTTTCGCAGAGACATTGATGGCTCCGAGGTGGGGGAGGGGGTGAGAAAAAGAATCCCCTGACTAGAGGGTACACAAGTGTTGACTTGGGTGAAGGAGAAGGTAATTTATGCTGAGGGAGGTTGGCAAAAATTGATGGAGGCATGGCAAGACATTGGGAGGTTTGTGAGAGTTAAATGTTCTCTATATAATCCTGAAATAGTGGAGATCTGTGAACAGATGCTTGGCTAGACACACAGGCTGGATAGGTGTGGGAGGGAGAGTGGGAGTATACTGTACAGAGGTTTGACAGAGGATATCTGTCTATTTACCTTCACTGCAAACATACATGAATGTGATGTTATATCCAGGTGGCTCAGTTATGAAAAGTTCTTAAACACCTTGAGGGAATGAGTTGCTGGGCCTGGGGGATGAGGACCACGGTATGGGAGGCACCAAGGTCAATTGGTTGGCATAACAGTTCACAAAGACAATGCTCTACATCTTACTTTGCTAAGTAGCAACTGGGGTCATAAAAGCTCATGAGGAGCCATCTGTGAGGTAATCAAATGCAAACAATAAATCCAGTGGGTTAGTGAACCGCCCCCAACGTCAGACCACACAGGCCACAGCCCTGAGACCAATTCCCGTTACCAGTCCAAGACCATAAAAACACGACATTCGACGACTTTTTGTTTTTACTTAAGCCAAAGTAAATCTGAGACTGAACCCCTTTCACAGATGAAGTCCATACAGTTGAGTTCCACATTTCCATTACCATCTTTATAAAACTGCTGGTAGGTCTCTGTATTTTCTCATGGAGATTAAGAGGGCTGGCCCACCTGACCATCAAAATGCTACGCCAATAAGATACTTGAAGACAGACATCAAGTTCTCTTAAACTATACGTCTACTACAGGATGCTGAGTCTGAGAATTCTAGAAAACGCACTAATATTCAAGACATATTTATAACATTAAATGCATAAATTTGGTTCTTTTGAAATGTAACCTTGTAGCAAGAAAGCGATCCTCAATGGAGTTTGAATGCATTTAAAAACATGACATTTCAGATTATTTTCACATCACTTTGTAATTCACATAGATGTTCTACTGAGTTGAACAGCAGAATCTCTGAAAATGTACTGTCCTCAAATGAAGAGCTGAGAAGTCACTTTGCACAACGTCACAATAGGCATTTTGAAGCCAGAGGTTAGATCTTTGTTACCACTGCCTGTTCCACAGTGCTATCACAGTGTTTTCTTTGCTGATAAATGTTAATGTTTGCTAAATTTAACTGAAGCAGTTAAATAGAACACAGACACAATCTTAATACTCTGCAATGTAGTTACATAGTTTTAGTCAAGAATAGCTATTATGTTAAATGTGCTACATAAAAAAACCTCAAAAGTAAAGCATTTCTTTTATCCACACACTATGAAATTTACAATGTATCTTTTGAATTTATGCAATATTACATATTTTTTTTAATGTTACATCTCCATAATGTGTATAGTCAAGTGATTTTTAATGTTTAAAGTTTATTCTAGATTTTTATTCAGCCAGAGTAACCACTAAAAGGATATAAGGCAAAATAATTCAATTTATTTCTTAGATGCCTACATATTTACAGTAATAAAAATGGCTCATGCATTATATAACTTAAAACATCTAGACTTTCACATTACAAATTAAAAATCTCAGGAAACTCTAGACCAACTGCTTATGAAAAAAATTAATGGCTGATCAGAAAATGTCAAATAATTATTATTACCTCAAGACTTTACCATAATCATTAATAGGATGGAATCATGAAAACCATCATTTGACTTTTAGAATTATACTTAGTTTTCAAATTAAAATTTCATATTGGGGTAGTAACACGTTACTCAAATATTAAGAAACTACAGTCATGCATTGAAGAGGGATTTTAATTCAAGAGTTCATCACGGTCCAGAGTATAAAGATAGTATTTTCATGAGGGTTACATGGTGTATAGGCAGCAACAGAAATCCACAAGCACAGGGTAGCCAACGGAGCATGCGCGGAATCAACGGACGGCTTTAAGCGTGGGAAGTTCTTGATTACTGTCAGCACTGCTGTCATGTTCAGGTTCTCAAAGGTCATCGAATGTTATGATGATCTCCAAGCAATTTTCTTCATGATCATCTAGGCTCTGTCTGAACAGCTGCGTATGTTGCCAGGCAACATCACCTTCTCCTCTGCTTAATTCAGCTTCCAAAATAACTTCAGTGACACCAGAAAAATCATGATAGGAGCGAAGCATTTTATCTGTTTGAGAGAGAAAGAGAGAGAGCCAGAGAGAGAGAGAGAGGACAATTTGCATTTGATAATGGAAAGAGTATAAAAAGATAATGGGTAAAAATCTACACCCCACTCCCCTCCCAAACAAGTACAATGCCTCTTTTGGGGGAACCGGCTTCCTTTGAAATAAAGAAAGTGTTTTCTTTCTTTCTTTTACTTGTTTTACAATGACAGCAACAAAAAAACAGCTGTTAATGAAGTGACACAGATTTTTACTTTTAAAAGTTTACCTAAATGCTATGAGTAATCTTCAGCCTGAGAGTCCGTCACATCTCAAATACAACTGCCCTTCACAAAGGTAAGCTCCCCAGTCGCGTGCTTACCTCCCAACAGTTCCACCTGGGCGTTATCAGACTGCAGCCTCCACTGAATCGTTCCCGTCTCAAAGGTCTGACTGCTGGTGCGAATGGAGATGCTCTCTACTTTGAGCCCGACTGAGCCACACTCAAACTTCCAGGAGATATACCCAAAGGATGACCCTTCCTTTCGGGCTAAGTACACCTGTAAAGTAGCAAGGGAGCGGAAATGGTCAAAAATGATGACAGGGTGGGTACCACGTACAAATGCTTATTGAAGCTTAATTTTTCTTCATTGAGGAGTCTTATTGCTAAATTTTCATTTCATTAACATTTTTTCCTACAGCTCTGGGAGAATGTCACTTACTTGCATGCAGCTGGCTAAATAAGTTTCCTAAAAAGCTACATAAAAATCAAATTTTGGTAAATGTTACTCTTTAAAAATGAACAAGCTAATAAAGTGCACTTTATGATGAGTCTTTGAATAATAAAAACCTTTTAGATGCATTCACTTCTCATTTTCTAATGCTGGATTTATAAAGTGCCGCTGTCCGGTTAC